TATGTGTGTGTTGTTGCAGTAGTACCATATATTTCTGCGTTGGCTCGTCTTGCATAAGTAAGCTGCCCAAGAAGAGATATACAGGAAATCGTTCTGCAATCAATGCGGATCGAGAAGCATTTCACCCAACTTATTATTTAATATTGCCTACAACGATGTTCATAGAAAAGTGTCTGTGTTATTTATTATTCACGTTTTGTCTGTTCCTTGAACATAATTCATCATTCTGTTCAATAGTACTCTGAAATTCAGCTTCTTCTACTCCCCGCANCTGTTCCTTGAACATAATTCATCATTCTGTTCAATAGTACTCTGAAATTCAGCTTCTTCTACTCCCCGCACCGCCGGCTTGAACTCAACGATGAACAGTTGTACAGGGGGCTCATCAGCAAGAAGTAGATGCTTTTGAGAGAAAAAAGGATTCCACATCTTAATTTAACAAACTAGCTGAGAAGATCCGGGCAGTTGCATAGGCTGTCATCTACAACCGCTCTGCAGGAGGCAGCAGCAGTGTTTTTTGCAACTCGCTAGAGGTGACCTCCTCTCAACATCAATCTCAGGCCGTTGTACCTCCGTGACTGGGGCATTTAAAGAATGGAGAGGAGATTATCACCAGTGTTTTTAAAAACTTTCGTCTCAGGTGTTCACTCTGCTGCAGCTCATGACTGTCCTAGGTATGCATATCCAAGCACCACTCCCCCGCATAGATTAACACTACAGGTAAATGCTACTCCATTCATTGGCCGTCAGCAACCAGCCAGCATTCCAGAAGAAATTCAAAAAACATTATCAGGCGGATCGGGCTTCAGATCCTGTTTCAACTGCCTAACCATAAAACCTGAAACCCTACACCCGGAACCGTAGAACCTAGAACTTCTGTTCAACTTTTTTTCGAGACTAGCTTGGGTTTATCCATGGTGTTTGTTTGTTTGCATTTAAGCAACTTAATAAATTAATTAATTATTATTTTGGTTTAGGGAGGAGAAATGATGCTCCATTGCCTGTGCAAACACCAGCATCGACCCTTCGCTCAGACAACCAAGCCACTGGCTCTGGAGACGTTTGCAAACACCAAGGAAGCCGCCATACACCATTGCCGCTGCTTGCGCTGTCTGCATGTGGCACTAAGCCATAACACGATCCACGGATAAAGGGCACATGAAGGCCGTCACAGCGCGAAAAAGCCCAGTCGTAGAGCACCGGAAGGCGGCCACAGCACCCCCCGCAATGAGCAGGAGGCAGAGGGGGGGCTTCCCGCTGTATCCCCCCATAAAAGGCGTTTTTGGAGATGGATCTAGATTTAATTGGAANAGAGGGGGGGCTTCCCGCTGTATCCCCCCATAAAAGGCGTTTTTGGAGATGGATCTAGATTTAATTGGAACTGAAATAATTTGTTTAATTGGCTTATAACAGTTGAGTGGTGTGAGAAGGCAGGCGTAACCCGAAAGCGCGGCGAAAGCAACAACCCACAGAGATGTCTCCTGTTACCACCTCGACCTGCCGCGCCTGTCGACCTGCCGCGTCTCTGGTGTTGCTTGTTTTTTGCGTTTGTCTAAATTAGATGGTTTATTTCAGAGGATAAGTCATGCACAGCAATTTCTGTTTGTTTTATTGTTGCTCAATATTAATTATATCTAATTTTATCTTTTGTTTGCAATTTTGGCTTTGCTGTCCCGTTTTTTGCCAATCGCCGTTCACGCGACTGCAGGACCACTCAAAGAACTCCGAACTGCTTGCCGTCTTTTCCGCTCCCCTCAATTCGAATATTTATATTTCTCTCGCCGATAAAACTTTTAAAAAATTTTCTTGCCTTCTGTCACCATGGCTCCCTTCTACAAGACCGCAGCCGCATTCTGCCTCGTCGGACTCTTTGGGCTCCAATGCGGGGCGGAAACCCCAACAAAATACAAATTTGAAGTAGCACAAGTAGGCGAAGGTAAACGTATTACCGCTTATAATTTTCATTTTTCTTGTGTTCTCCCCCGTATTGTTTGCTGTCAAGCCTTGAACTACTCGGCTGGGTCAGGCGGAGGTCGCTTTACTGCACGTTGATTTTCCTCTCCGCCTTTGTTCCTTGCAGACGCCTACTTGACAGTCCAGTTGGCTCGTAATGGACAAATTTCAGCTAAGACCAGTTTAGTCGAAAAGGACACTGAGCTCGTCGGCACCTTGGAGGCAACAGTAGAAGCCGGCGAATCAGAACCTAAAGACTCGTGCGATGAATTATTAACAGAGGACCTTGTGAGCGCAAACAATATAAAAGGCCTGTTTGCATGATGTTATTACGGCTACTGCTTTGTCATAGTCAGCTGCAGGTGTGAACTCGGAGCACCGTTGTCAGGCCAGACAGGAATTATTCATTTGTTCCTATGATTATCTGAGAGGCCGAACATAGGAAAGCTCTTTTGTCCTTTCGTTCCTCTTTTGGGTGTGCAGAAGAAGCTCTTCAATGTCACCTTCAACCACACAGACGATCCAGACTACCGTGAACTGGTGCAGGGTGCTCTGAAGACCGGACTAACAAATTTCGGGTAAGGAGCTCCGATATTCATCTTCGCTACAGACAGCTTCAACCTGCTGTCTTAAACCAAAGCGACAGCGACGATGCATAGTTTGTCTACCATGCTACCGCCGNCAGCTTCAACCTGCTGTCTTAAACCAAAGCGACAGCGACGATGCATAGTTTGTCTACCATGCTACCGCCGCCACTTTCTCGTCATCTATATTCAAACAATTACACTTATGTTGTGTTGCGCTGATTGTTTCTACTTCACAGCACAACATATCCGGAAGACACATCGGCGTGGAAAAAGATATGGGGAAAACAAGAGCTTCACAGCGTGTTGCACCTTCTCGGTGCCAGCAGCACTAAAGTCGCCTGTGTCATTGCAAAGTGTGTCAAAACAGGAGTTGGCGTGCTCTCCGAGTCAGATGAAGAAACACCAGCAACGTCTGTGCTTTTCTGTCAATTAAAGCCTGCAGCAGCAGAGAACGAAGCAGCCTTTAGGTAAGCTTGGTTTTTTGGTGTTGAATGTTTGGATCGGTCTTATGAAAGGAGTGAGACGTGAACAGCAACAATAACTGGAGATGTATTCTCCGCTTCTGTCTGGTTGTTTCGTCTTCCTTGCAGCGAGGAGTACTTCAAGGAACTTAGTACACGAACAACTGAACTAAAAGATATGAAGGAGGAGGATCTGGAGGATCCTATTGTAACCAGCTCTGCAGATGCAGCCGTTCCCAGCATTCTAACTGCCGGTTTGGTCGCCACCCTGGCAGCTATCTCTGCCTAGGCAGGCAGCTTTCCGCCGCCTAGGTAGCTAGCTAGCTAGCTACCTAGTTATTCCGCATATCCGTCCGCCCGTATGCACAGCGAATAGCTTTCGANGAATAGCTTTCGAAACCGCCGTTGTTTGCCTCAGTATGCGAATGTTCACTTGCTGCGTGATTAGCCTAACCGTAGTTGCTGCTCCGAGCAACATGCTCGATACAGCATTGAGGTGAAAAGCAGCGAATCTATGAAGAAATATCAGAGTGTAAACTTTACATTCTGAGGCTTTTCCACCTCGCATGGCGGTTGCGGTTTTCCTTCCAACTTGTTATTATGATCCTGCTCTTGGTTGTCAGTGAATATCATTATTTATCCGTGTGCATCTCTGCTAGGCAGTCGAACTGTATGTTGGTGCAGAAAGCTGCACTAGATACTGAAACAAAGAAATTCATATCAAAAGAATTGAATTGATATCTGAAATCGCTTAATATCTAAGCAATGTCAGACGCCCTACAACAGAAAGACCACGAAAACGAAAATTAAGAATATGAACAACTGCATAGCCGTTTGCGATTCGCCGTTAGTGTCACGTTAGTATCCCCGAAAATTAATGTAATTGTATGTATACTAATTTTTTCATTTGAATATTCAGCACAACGCAACCAGCTTTCCTTGTTTCTCAGTCGAAGATAAGCACAGCACAGCACAGCACACCCACAGAAGAGAGATGCGCAGCCAGAGACACAGTGAATACAACAATATAGATAAACAATGATGTAGTAATACTTTATGGAGATGCGGAAACAAACAGATCAAAGGAAACACATATAGCCAGACAAATGCACGCTTTTCATAGGGTTACTTGCCCCCATAGAAGTAGATATTGCACATGTAAACACAGTCGGAGGATAACTTTATACGGTTTATGCTGCTTCTTGAAAGATCATGTATATCAAATTCCGGCAGTACTGTTTTCCATAACACTCGTCGACTTCACCGATTTATATTAACTTCTTCAGTTTTCCTCAGCAGGATTGCTTGTAGGGGTAGTAATGCCAGCTTGTGTGAAAACAGCTGAAGCTACAACAATAGGAACATACAAGTGTTATAGG